AGAAAGAAAGCAAATATTTCAACAAACAGACTTAAAAAAGATAAAATGTATAAACCATTAAAAGGATATCCTTTTGTATATAGAAGAAAAGAATTTAATATATTGAATCCACTTTGGATGCCAGAAGAACAACTTGATAACATTAGGAATATAGAATTGATAATTGGTGAATATAAAGAATCGTTATTTGACAAACTTAGTATCACTCAAAAAAATATCGATACTATTCAAAGTACATTATCTGAAATGATGGGATATTATGAAACTGAAAAAGAAAAAAGAAATTTTTTAGAATTAACAGTTGAAGTATTAGTAAACGGAAATATTGAGGTTGATGATATAGAAGATGAATCTATTAGAAACATGTATAAATCATTTAATTTTGATTTTTAATAAAATATATAATAAATAAATTTACAATACAAATATAAATAAATAAATATAAATAAAACTGATTTATTATTCTGATAAATTAAAAAAGAAATGGCTGAAGATTTAAAATCAATCATTCGTAATTTTGCAAACAAACTCATAAAACAACAAAAATATTTTTTCTTTAAACATGAAATTTTGGATCTTGAAATACCACAAACTATAACTTTTTTTTATGCAGAAAATTCTGCTTATTTAAATAATTACAGTCTTTACATTGAAGATGATGAATTTAAAAGAAACGAACCTAATATAAGTTTTGGTCATTTTGGAATTTATAATAATCATTATCTTTACTTAACTTCTAATCGTCAACAATTAGTTAATATTCCAAATAATTTTAAATGTGAATTTATTGGAAAACGTAATAATGAATATATTACAAAAAAAATTAAAAAGATGTGTTTTGACTTTAAAGAATACTTTAATGTAACTGAAATTGGTACATATACTATCTATAAAGATGAAAAACCTTTTCGTAAAATAACTTCTTATTATAAATTTGATTTTCAAATTAGTGATGAAAGAGACTTACTTTCATAAATTATGTAATTTAATTTTATTATTTAAATAAAAAATTTAATATTAAACACTAATACTCTTTTACAATTAAAACTAAATATTGATGACTAAAAGTTATATTAACATAATATATTAAAAAAACAAACGTCATGCTAAATACTAAAAAAAGATCACCAAATGTTCTAATAATTGGTAATCTAAAAATAAATATCGGAATAAAACTTATTGGTAAAAAAAAATCTCTAAAAAATTTTTTCATGAAACTCCATCTTTTGGGGTGAATATAATCTAAACTAAAATCAAATAGCATATTAAAAAATGGTTGGGGAATAAAATCTTTAATTTTATCTAATATATTTTTTATAATACTAATATTTAAAAAATAATCAAATAAATTATCAAGCATTTTATCAAAAAAAGAACTTATTGTTTCTATTAATTCTTTGTATAAACAATTTTTAAAAAAATTTACTTGTTCTTGTAGTTCATAATTTTCATCACGTAAAAAATTGATTTTTTTTTCTTTTTTACTAAGTTCATAATTAATACGTTTAAATATTTTTTTAGATTTTTTAATAACTTGTTCATAATTTATACCAGATAATGTTGATATTTTTTTTTGAAGTTTATCCAAACGTTCAGAAATTTCCTCATCTGAACTACTATCATATGAATCTTCAGAATACATTTAAAATAATTCAAAGTATTTTATTTTTAAAAAATCTCTACAAACAACTTGAATTATAATATGATAAATTATTTGAATCCATTCTAAATAATCAATCCAAAAAAACAATAAATCAACTGCTATTTTTATATATATTATCGTAATAATAAACTAAAAAATAAAAAAAATAAATAAATTAATAAAATAATAATATTAATTGATATCAATTACTTACTTTTAATATAGATTGTAAAAAAAAAACAGAAGTCTAAAAACAATTGAATTAGATAATATTAAAAAAAAAAATTAAAAATTTTAGAAAAACTTACAATAGTTGTTATAATAATAATAATGTAATAATTATATAAATCAATAGAAAAACAAATCCATTGGTAAGTAAAAAGAATACGTAAAAAAAATATATAGGATATCAAAAGTATAGAAAATAATGCTTTAGTCGGATGTCTTTCAGGATGTGGACAATTTTTCATAAGATATTCCAAAAAATTCATTTTATTTTTTATGTTTTTTTTAATCGATTAATACTTATTTAAATATTTTTTTATTACATGAGTAAACATACTATATTTATCTTATTTTGGTTTAGTATAAAAAATAAAAACAAAATAAATAAAATATCAAAAATACGTTGATAATATCTGATAAAAATAAAATATAAAAAAAAAGAAAAATAAATAAATACAATTTTTATATATTCATTTTTAATATGTGAAAATGCTTTCTAAGACTTAAACTCGTTAAAATCTTTATAATTTTTTTTTTCTATTTTTTCGGTTATTAATAATTGTTTTAAATCATCATTCAAAATATCATTCAGAGATTCTTTTAGTATAGTATTTTGTTTATTTTTTAACTCATCTAATAATTGATTGTAATTATCTTTCCAAAGTTTGATTTCATTTTCTTGATCTTTTAAAAGTTGTTTAACTCGAGCAATCTCTGCTGTTAACTCAAGTTTTTGTTGAACAGAAATATTTTGAAGTGAATCTACTGAATCTATTTCTTTTCTTGATAGAAAAAAACAAATGTTCATAATTTATATATTTAATTAATCATTTTATTTTATAAAAATAAAAATTTCTTTGTTAAAAAATATATTTATAAAAAAATAAAAAAATAAAAACGTAAATATGTTGATCAATAAACTCTCAAATAATCTAATTTTTCTAAAAGAAAAAAAATACATATATAGTATAATGAATATTGATTTAACAAAATGATTATCAAATGTCTTATCGATATATTCACAATTCTTATAGTAACTATTTTCATCTTGCAGTTCTTGTAACAATACTTTTAAAGCATCGTTTGTTTTTTTAATCTTTTCTATTTCTTTGTTTAATTTATCTATTTCTGTCTCAAATTTATTTATTTGTTCTTCTAACTCTTTATTTTTATTTATTAAATCATTTTTATCATTTTTTAATGCTTCAGTAGAATTCAACAAATTAATATTCTTATGTAGATAATCAGATTGTTCTTTTAATAAGCGAATATTTTGTTCTCTTAAATTTTCACCTCCTGTTTCCATTATAAATAAAAATATCTAACTTATTTTTTAGATATGTTTAGAGTATGTACGCTTATTATATCTTCTTTTTTTAACAAACTTATTTTTATTTCTTTTATGTTTTTTAAGTGAAATATGTGTACGTTTATTATATCCTATCTTATTAACACCTGATTTTTTACAAATAGAACATCTTGGTTTTCTTTTAGCTTCGATATTAATAAATAATATAAATAAAAAAAGAAACAAAAATAAAAATTTTTTTAGTTTCATTTTTAAATATAAAAATGAATATCAAATCGTTATTTATTTATATAAATATTAGATAAACAAATGTATATATATACTAATTTAAAATTTCAATATTACATTTACGTAAATCAAAACTATAATTATTTTTAAATTTGATCTTATCAATTTTGATATCT